CCTTTTGGAAATGCTTTGAATTCGTTTTAGAAATAATATTGTGAGATTAAACTTGGAATTAGATGTAAACTATAATCTTAAATGTTTTGAAACCGATTCTAAAACGATTCTAGCAAATTTGAGAATATTTTACTCAGAAATTTTAATATTTTAATCTCTTGAAGTTAATGAGTCGGTTGGTTAGTCTAGAGTTCATACAGTCAGTTCAAACCTCATGCGGTCGGTCAGTCAAGAGTTCATGCTGTCAGTCGGTGTTGGAAGGCCAGATCTGCAGCGCCGGTGCCGCGCTAGGACTTAGAACTGACCGCATCAGCTGTGGTTCTTCTTTCAAGCAACTAACCGACCGCATCAACTTTCAATTGACCGCATCAACTCTCAACTGACCACACCAACTTCGAACTAGAACCGACCGCATCAACTTCAACTGACCGCACCAACTTCCGACCGACCTCATAAAGAAATGACTAGATTTTCATAACTTCCCATTGGAAAATAGCTGAATCGATATAAGAAGCTTGTTCGTCCTAGTAATAGGTCATTGCATTAAATCTTACATCAATTCACGTCATCACACTCTCTTTGTCAAAGACTGCTCTCAGCAAGACCCAGCCATTTCAAATCCCACTATAAACGAAATTCGTAAACAGCGTTAATCGCAATCTATACTGAGGGCAGATTTCGAATGCAGGAGGAGATCATTGTAAGCAAAGATGAGAAGCAGCTGTGACGGCACGTACGAGAAAGCACAATGAAGGCGTCGTAGACTACTCTATTCGAAGATACTAAGCTAAAGAAAGGAGAAGAGAGTCTCCCGGAGGGAGACGAAGGCTATTTATACATGATACGGGCACTGGTGGACCTATTCCACGTGCGTAGCATGTGACGAGTGGTTCAACTCGTCACATCACCCCCCGTCTTAAAAAAGCTTGCCCTCAAGCTTTGTGTCATCTCCGTGTTATTGTCTAGCTCGTCATACAAGTCCTCACCTTCTTCCCACGCTTTCAACCACTCATTAAGCCTAGCCGGAGGCCCTGGAAGCTCCGGGTACTGTAGGTGGAAGTCTCTTAACTTATGTGGGCTGTATTTGAAGTCCGATGCGGGGTACCATTCGGGGTCTTCGTCAAATCCAGTCCAACCTGCACGGTATTCTAGCTTATTTCGACGCTTACGGACAGCAAGCATGTCGTCTACTTCCCACTCATCGTCTTCTGAGATCTGTACTAAGGGTGGCGGGTCGTTAATTTGTCCTGGCAACGGGTCGTTGGCAGCCTTCCTAAGCTTGTCTGGTGAAAAGACAGGGTGTATGTTCATTGATTTAGGTAGGGCAACTTCGTACGAGTTCCCAACTTGCCTTATAATCTTGTACGGTCCTGCCATTTGGTGGTCGAGCTTTCGACTTGGTCGATGCGTCCTCCAGTCCTTGGTCGAAATCCAGACCTTATCCCCAGCCTTGAAGTCTACTAGCCGTCGGTGGGGGTCTACATCCCGCCTCTTCTTGTCTTGTTGCTTCTGCATCGTCGTACGAGCTTGCTCCCAGGCATCCTGCATTCGTCGAGCCATAGTATGGGCTTCCTCATAGCTTAGCTCTTGTCGTGCGTTCGTAGGCTTGACCGGAGTCTTCCAATCGAAAGACATACGTGGGTCGTATCCGTAGAGTAACCGGAAAGGGGACATGCCAATGGAGTCATGAGGTAGTACTAGCTGCGCGTGATCCATAAGAGGGAGCATGTCTGACCAGTTGTCTTAGTAGTACGATACAAAAGGGCGTAACCGTTGGTCAATGTACTGGTTCATGATCTCTGTCTGACCGTCTGTTTGGGGGTGGTAGGCCGTAGACAGCTTTAGTTTCACGCCTAGTATTCGACAGAATTCATGCCAAAAGCCAGAGATAAACTGGGGGCCACGATCAGACACGATTGAGTCTGGTACTCCTTTTGTACAATAGATGTGTTGGATATAGAGCTCCGCCATATCCTTCGCTGTAGTAGTCTTGAAACAAGGTAGTGAAAACGCTTGTTTGCTTAACCGGTCGACTACTACTAGAATTGCATCGTACCCTTTTTGGTCGGGAGGGAACGACTTGAAGTCTATCGATATATGCTGCCAAGGGTGGTCTGGCACTGGCAGGGGTTGCAATAGTCCGGGCGTACGGTCTCGCGGTTTATGGGCTCGTCGGCAAGCGTGGCAATTACGGATATAACGTTCCACCCAACCCGTCAGGCCTCTCCAGTAGTACCGTGACCGTAAGAGTTGAATTGTCTTGTTCCGTCCGGGGTGAGCAGTAGAGATTTGGGCGTGGGCTTCACGAATTAGCTCCGTACGGAGCGTGCCTTCGTCTGGGACTACGAGCTTATCTTAGAAGAAGAGAAGTCCATCTTGTAGCCTAAAATCCGACTCCTCCGAAGCTTGAGCACGCAACTCTTCAAGGGATTGTGATGTGCGGTTCGCATCTAATAGACGGTTTATTAGTTTTATGGATTCGTAAGAGTCGATAGCCGTGATTTCTAGAAGAAGCTCTTGCCGTATAGCGAGGTCTAGGTTGTCTGGTTGCAGAAGTGCTCTCGTACGGTGTACCGCTTTTGCTTAGTCTTGAGGGCCTACATCTTGTTCTCTTCGGGTTAAGGCGTCTGCTTTTTGGTTGTTTCTCCCTGGTGTGTACATGATTGTAAAGAAGAACTGAGACAGGATCTCGGCCCAGCGGGCTTGTCGGCTAGTTAACTGCTTAGTTGTCATAAAGTACTCTAGTGCTTTATGGTCTGTATAGACCTTGACTCGAGATTAGGCGCCTTGTAGTTCTGCTCTCCATTGGGACAGGGATCGTATGATAGCCAGCATCTCTTTGTCGTGGATCTCGTAGTTATATTCGGCAGGGGCTATTGTCTTGGAGAAGTAGGCTACTGGGTACCATTCCCCGTCTGGGTGTAGCTGCGATAAGATGCCGGCTATAACTCCGTCGGATGCATCGGTTTCTAGCATTGACTCATACGAAGCGTTATAGTGCCGTAGGATCGGTGCTGTGGTTATTCGTCGCTTTAGCTCTTGACATGCTTCTTAGCACTCTTTGTCGAAGATAAAAGGAGTATTAACCTTCGTGAGACGCGTCAATGGTTTGGCGACCATGCTATAGTCTTGAATAAATCGCCGGTAGAAATTGCAGAATCCTAAAAAGGATTGGATACCTTTCACCGTCTGCGGCTCTTGCTAGTCGTGGATAACTTGCACCTTCTCTTAGTCTACTTCTATGCCTTCCGTACTAATAATAAACCCTAGGTATTTCGTACGCTTAACTCCAAACTCGCACTTCTTGATATCGGCTTGAAGGCCAGCTTCTCGTAGTCGAGTTAAGACTTTTTTCACTTACTCTTCATGCTCTAGCTCGTTATCGGAGTAGATGAGAATATCGTCTAGGTAAGCGGTATAGAAGACGTCTAAATAATCGAAAAGGATGTCATTCATATACCGTTGGTATGTTGCCGGGCCGTTAGTCAACCCGAATGGTAGGACTTTGCATTTGTACGACCCATATCGAGTACGAAACGTCGTAAGGTCTTCAGAAGAAGTGTCCATTCGTATCCTATGGAATGCTTGGCGAATGTCGAGTTTGGTGAAGACTTTTGCTTGGCTAATTCGGGCCAGAGTCTCGTCAATTAAAGGTAGCGGATAACGATCTTTCCGAGTAAGGGCATTAAGCTTCCGGTAGTCGATACAAAAGCGTAGTCCCCCACCGGGCTTCTTAACAAAGAGAATTGGCGAGGCATATGGTGCTTGGCTAGGGACGATGAATCCTTTCCCTAGGTTATCGACCAAATATTGCTTAGTGGCTTGAAGCTCGTCCGCTGACTGGTTGTAAAGCGGGCTGTATCCTAGTGGTGTATCGCTCTCCAAGTGGATCTTGTGGTCGTATGGGCGGTGTGGTGGCAGCTTGTCGGATTCTACCTTGGAGAAGACGTCTATAAACTCTCGGTAGGTTGTAGGCAACTTCCTTCGAATCGAGTCTATTGTTTCTTAGTCCTCAATAGCAAGCGCTTCCTTTTCTTCAATAAGTAAGTCAATCTCATACATAGTAGTAGAGAAGACCTCATTATTTGGGCTGTACATATTGAAGTGGAATCCTACGGCACTAATCTGAGCGATATCGACTATAGGCAGTGCCTTTGGTATTATACGGTGCGTGGCGTTTGGGTAGTCGGTAGGCCGCTCGTCTACTAGCTGTTGACTCATAAGACGGAGCTGGTGCCTAATGTCCTTCTCGTACGTGCCGTTAGTGGTTGTTACCAGATTAGAGACCATGTTCAAGTCTGCGGACGACGGACGGTCTGTAAGGGTCTGTTCCGAGTGTGTGATAACTTGTATCGGGACCATTAGGTGTTGTCCATCTCTCCTGCGTTGATCCTCGAGTGCAAAAGCATGATCCCGGGCGTAGACGTCTTTCTAATGTTTAGTTTAAGTCTTCCCCCGCTAGAGAGTAGTCCTAGGAACTAAAATCTCCCTTTGGAAAGAAGGCGTGGCCGTATGCTTGGATTCATCAGGCCACATAAGTCTTTAGTCTCGTGGATTAAGCTATATATTAAAGTATGACATCCATTTCAAACCAAGGATTATATCGTGGTTGCCTAAGTCTAGAATCAGGAACGGGATGTTCTCTTGTCTTTGGCCATCTAAAGATAGATGAAGGGTAATAAAATGGGTAACTGGCTTCCCGGGTTGTCCATTGAATCCCTTGGGAATAATAGGTTGTGCAAGAGGTTGAGGTTTGAGGTTTAAGAAAGTAGTAATGTCATTCGCGCAAGTAGTATCTATGAACGCAAAGCCATTAGCTCCAGAGTCAATAAGGGCAGAGAGGTTAATGCCATATCCATTCTTTGATAATGTACATGGAATTGTGAAGTGCCTGCCTCCCATTAATCGACTCAAATCAATCTTTAGTAGACTGATCGCATACCCTAGGCAGGAGTCTTGCCCTAGGGTTCCTCGTTTCCCGGCTCGTTGTCCTGTACTTGGCCATCTTCGTACAATTGTTTGTCAATCTCTTTGACATCTCCTCTACGAGGCTCTGGGCAAGCAAGGGCTATATGTCCACGCTTGTGACAATTATAGTATGTGATTTCAGCAGGGTCTGAGGGCGTTCCCTGACGAGATTAGCTCGCATATAGGTCATTTGGCGACTTAGAAGCTTTCATAGTGGTAGAGTCTAGACGCAGGCCCGTGGGGATTGTGCTAGTTAGACGTGTGGTCGTGGAAGCAGGAGGAATCGCAGGAGGTGATATCACCGTGGAGCGCTGTCGTCGCTGCTGACTCTCTCTGGCCGTGATCCGTTTAAGCTCTGTGTCCAATGATTGGCAGGAGGCCGCAAGCTCGGCGTAAGTGTCTAGGGAGCGTAGGTTTGGCGCTATTCCTCGCTGGAGTTGGGTAGTCAGCTTGTCGTATAAGTCGAGTCTGAGATCTTCGGCTGGAGTCTGTGCCTGGCCTGCCAAGTGCAGGAATTGCGTCTGAAATTCGGCAAAAGGCTGTCCGATCATCATCAGGAGTCGGTTGTACTCATAGCGTGCATCCCGTACTTGGTTAGGGTTAACGTAAATAGCAGCCAAGTGGTCGAGCATCTCTTGTGCTGAGACGAAGCGTGTTTGAGAGTCCTGGTCGTAGCGGGGCTGAAGGTGCTTCTGAGCATCACCAGTGGTCTGATCAAACAAGTAGAGCATCTTGTCTTCTTCGTCCTCGAAGTAACCATCGTTCGTACGAAACGTTCCTTGAATGAGGATCTTCTAGCTAGCGAACATTGGGTTGGTCCCATCAGAGAGTAGCTGACTTTGACGTGGCTTTTTAAAGCGTCTTCCGGTGTTTTGGGACATGTAGTCCGAACTAAGAGTGCCTCTTTCGATCGTACGAGACGTGGTTTGTGTCCGAGTTGGCAACGCTCCTATTTGAGGGTTGGTTTTGGTGACCTAGGCTAGAATTTGGGCTAGTAGGTCTCAGTCTTAATAACACTCAGCCCGTAAAGTCTGTACCTCCTCTTAAAGTTGGGTAATGAGAGTAGGATCCGGGGTATCATCATCTTCAGAGTCGATTCCGTGCCTAGGAAGCTCGACTTCAAGTGCGTCCTCTTGATTGTCGGTCCGTGGGCGAATAGAGGGTGATCCGTCCCTAGTGGTAGCACCTTTGGCCGGTGCCTTAGGGTTTTGGCTTTTGGGAGCCATTGTTGGTTGTCTGGGGGTTTTGTACGACTGATTTGAGGGCTCTAGCGGAGGGCTCAAGGTCGTGGTTCGCTGAATACTACTAAGTGTAGCACAGAAGGGTCGTTGAACGTCACGCTGGACGCAGAAGGGGCTCAGTTCTTTGAATAGCACTGCGGCTAAGAAGCTGAGTAACGCTGAACACTATCCCAGATAGTGCAGATGAAGTAGAAGGATTGGCGAAGGGATATTATAATAGGCCTTCCCAGGCAGTGAGGAGAGCTTAGTATAATGTGACGGCACGTACGAGAAAGCACAATGAAGGCGTCGTAGACTACTCTATTCGAAGATACTAAGCTAAAGAAAGGAGAAGAGAGTCTCCCGGAGGGAGACGAAGGCTATTTATACATGATACGGGCACTGGTGGACCTATTCCACGTGCGTAGCATGTGACGAGTGGTTCAACTCGTCACAGCAGCATATTATGGCCGCAGCATATTATTGTTGTGGTTTCCGAATTATTAAAAATCACTTTTAAATGCTCGTAGTAAACTAAAACATAGCGTATTATAAATTAATATATTAAAATAAAAAGTTATATTATAATATTATTTTAAAAAAATCGTAATATTATATATTTATTTTAATATACGTATTATTATAATATATATGTGACAGCACGGTTGGACTCAAGTACGTAGACGAGGAATCGATTAGGCTATCTCTTAGAATCTAAAGGTAAAGAGGAAAGAAAGGAAGGAAGCGCTGGAAGGCAGGGCATATATACAGGCGAGCGGTCACGTGAGTATTTCGTAGCGGGCACGTGACTCTATAACCGTGACATTACCCCCCCCTTCCGAAGAACGACGTCCTCGTCGTTGTATCCATCCAATTATCATTATCCAAGTGATCATAATTGTTAATTCCATCGTCGAATTGTTTCTTCCAAGCTAGAAGGGCCTCTGGGGGGCTAGGCTTGCTTGGATTAGTCATGTGATACGCTATCAGCTTGTTAGGAGCGTATTTGAGGTCGGACGCCGGGTACCATTCTAAGTCTTCGTCTATATTCAGCCACTTTACTTGGTACTACAGCTGCTTTCGCCTTAGCCTAGAGGCCAAGATCTCGTCTACTTCCCATTTGAGGTCGCTAGTAATGTTGACTTCTGGCGGAGGCTCTTCTTCTTAACCAGGCAGCGGGTCTGCGGGGTCTCTCCTTAGCTTGTCGGATGAGAATATAGGGTGCACTCTTATAGAAGCAGGCAAGTCGAGCTTGTACGAGTGTCCTCTCTTCTCTAGGATCAAGAAGGGGCCAGCTCGTACATTGTCGAGCTTGCGACTAGGACGCTAAGTATTATACTAGGTAATCGTAACGTAGGCCTTGTCGCCTACTTTCCAGTCAACTACTCTTTGCCTAGTATCTTGCGAGCGCTTTATACGGTCTTAGGCTTGTTCCATATTCTTTCTGGCAATAGCAATTGCCTCGTCTATCCTTCTAGCTAGCACTAGAGCTTTCTCTCGATTTAGCTTGGCGCTAGGGGTGTTGTCGCTATCCGGACGAGTATTCCAGTCGAAATGAAGTACGGGAGCGGTGCTGTACAGCACTTCGTGGGGTGACATTCCTATGCTAGCTTGAGGGAGGCATAGCTGAGCGTAGTCCATTATAGGGAGCATATCTAACCAATCGTCCTAGTAGTACGACACAAACGGTGTTAATCTAGCCTAGAGAACTTGGTTATAATTCTCTGTTTGGCCGTCTGTTTGTGGGTAGTAGCTAGTCGAAAGCGTGATCTTAGTGCCTATAATGCGGTAAAGTTCTTGCCAGAACTTAGAGATGAATTGAGGACCACGATCGCTAACGATCTCCAGAGGGCGTCTGTAATATCGGAAGATATTCGTGAGAAATAAGCGGGCTAATTGCTCTACATTAATTGTCTTGTGGTAGGGTATAGAGACAGCTTGCTTGCTGAGACGGTCGATGATTACACAGACACTATCATAGCCGTGCTTGTTAGGAGGGAAAGAGCAAAAGTCTATAGAGAGTTGTTGCTAGGGGCGTTCTGGAATCGGTAGAAGTTGTAGTAAGCCAGGAGTCTTGTCTCGAGGGGAGGAGGCTCTAGCACAAGCATAGCAGTTCCGTACGTACTGAGCCACATTACGGAGTATGTGAGGCTAGTAGTACCTTTAACGGAGGATCTGATACGTTTTATCTCTTCTAGGGTGGGCTGTAAGCATCTGATTATAAGCTTCTCGAATAAGGTGCACTCGTAGATAGTCCTGATTAGGTACGACTAGCCTATCTTAATACAAGAGTAATCTATGCTTTAGTGAGAAGTCCTTATCATCCGGACGTTCAGCTTGTAGCCTGAGAGCAGCTAGCGTTCCTGCTTCCCGGTTGGCTTGCAAGATGCGGTCGATCAAATCGAAAGAGTGCTCTACGGTAGCTCTATTCACGGGAGCTAATTCCAAGGAGGATGCACGTAACTCACTATAGATCTAAGGGTCTAGCTTATTGGTAGTGAGGAACGTTTGTATACGAGATGCTTCCTTAATAGCGTCTTACAAGCTTATCTTATTGCTTCGGCGTGTCAAAGCATCAGCTTTTAGGTTATCTTTGCTAGAGCGGTACAAGATAATGAAGTGGAAGTCTGCTAATAGCTCTGCCTAACGGGCCTGCCTGGCTGTTAGCTTCTTGGATGATATAAAGTACTCTAGGGCTTTGTGATCGGTGTAAACCTTAATAGGTGTAGGGGTGGAGGCTAGTTTAGCTCTCCATTCTTTTATAGTCTTCACAATAGCGAGCATCTCCTTGTTATGGATCTTGTAATTTAGCTCAGTGGGAGCTATAATCTTCGAGAAGTAGGCAATAGGTAACCACTGCTCGCCGTGCTTCTAGTTGAGGATTCCTGCAACTACACCATCGGAGGCGTCCGTTTCTATCATACACTCGAGAGCGGGGTCGTAGTGTTATAAAATTGGTGCTATAATAAGCTATAGCTTAAGCTTCTCAAAAGTAGTCTCGCAATCGCTATCGAAGTGGAATAGAACGTTAGTTTTTGTAAGCTAAGTCAAAGGAGCTGCAATCCTTCTATATTCCTTGATGAATCGGCGGTAGAAGTTGTAGAAGCCTAAAAATGATTAGACGCCCTTGACTATACTAGGGCGCTTCCACTCTTCAATAACTTTCGTCTTCTCTGGGTCTACAGAAATGCCTTCTGTACTAATAATGAAACCTAGATACTTTGTACGAGTCACATTAAATTCGCACTTCTTGAGATTAGCTTGTAAGCTAGCATCTTGAAGTCGTTGTAGTACTTTTTTTACATGCTCTTCGTGCTTAAGGGGGTTGTCTGAGTAAATAAGGATATTATCGAGGTACGCAGTACAAAAATCGTCTAAATACTCAAACAATATATCGTTTATATATCGTTGGTATGTGGCAGGCCCGTTAGTGAGTCCGAAAGGCAAGACTTTGCACTTATACGCTCCGTAGCGAGTACGAAAGGTAGTTAATTCCTCCGAATCAGGGTGCATTCGGATCCGGTGGAAGGCTTGGCGTATATCTAGCTTCGTGTAGATCTTAGTAGAGGCAATTCGGGCTAGGGTCTCATCGATCAAGGGCAATAGATACTAGTCTTTGCGAGTAATAGCATTTAACTTCCGGAAATCGATGCAAAACTGTAATCCACCGTTGGCTTTCTTCACAAAGAGAACCGGTGTAGTAAACGGGGCTTGGCTAGGTTTAATGAAGCCTTTAGATAGGTTGTCTATTAGGTATTGCTTGGTGACTACTAGCTCTGCAGCGCTCATCTTGTAAAGGGGCGTGAACTAAAGCTCTGATTCATCCTTCTCAAGAGCGATCTTGTGGTCGTATGGACGAGAAGGTGGTAGTGTGTTAGAATCTTCTTTGGAAAAGGCCCGAGCGAAGGCTTGGTATGTTGCTAGGAAAGACGGCTCTAATTCTATGATCTCTACTCCCGGCTGAGCCTTTTGACAACGCTTATCCTCGATCAACCGGTCTAGCTCGTACAAGCTAGTTGTAAAAGCCTTAGTATCTGGCTGGCGGAGGTTGAGGTGAAACGCTTCTGGCGTAATCAAGCAAAGGTCCATAGATTTTAGCATTAGTACGTAGTCTAATAGCTTTGGAGGAGGCTACGGTGGAGTTGGCTTTTTACTTAGCTTTCCAGACAAGGCATTATCCATCTTATGCATATTAGCTCGGTTATCCAGGGATTGGGTACGCTTCCCAAGCAGTCGGGGCACATAACCTTGCGGTTTTGTCGATGTAAGTGGGAGCAGACGAGCTAGAAGTGGCTTTTTTGACATAGGCTCCCCTTTTGGTACAAGTGGGGGGCTTAGCACTTTTGGTGGCGTAGCACTAGGCTCTTGTGGCGGCGGGGACGGCGGAAGTAGGCTTAAATTATTGATATTTAGCTAGGCATAGCTATATTGAGCACCACTTCTTTGTTGTTGCTCCTAGATCTCCACTACTAAGTTACGACGGTTGGTATCCAACTAGTCCTAGCTTCTAAGTCCAACCGGGAGCTTTCTTATATGGTAGCGAGGCATGTGCTTGTCGGGTAAAGTAGATCGTACGTCTGAAGGCGTGTAGTCCTTTGGCCAAAGGAGTTGGCGCTTAGCTACATCTAGCTTAACTTAATACATCTCTAGCCAGGTGCGGCCTAGAATAATGTCATAGGAGCCGAGCTCTGTAACCAAAAAAGGGACTAAGAGCTGCTTCCTTCCGTCTACCGTGAGGTGGAGGCGTAGGCAATGAGAGATAGCTTGTCTAG